AGAAGTACAAATTTTGGTAGTTACAAAATAGTCACAGGGATGTAAAATATAGCATAGGGAATATAGTCAATAGTATTGTAATAACTATGTATGATGTCAGGTAGTTTCTAGATTTATCAGGATGATCACTTCGTAAGTTATATAAATGTCTAATCACTATGTTGTACACCTGAAAATAATACAACATTGTATGCCAATTGTAACTAAAAAATATTTTAAAAAGTTATCCTAGGGGCATATAAAGGCAATATAGTACAATTTTAGAATAATTATATGGATTAACTACTACCGATTAGCACTATATGACAGAGACTTACATACATGATTTCATTTGATTTTTACAATAAATTTTTCAAAATAGTCTAGTGTGGTGATGAAACCGCCTGGGTTTAAATTCTGGGTCTTCTACTTACCAGCTGGAAAATCTTGGACAAGCATTTAACACTTCCCTGACTCAATTTCCTCCACAGTAAAATGGAGATAATTATAGTAACCCAGTTCATGAGGTTAATGTGAAGATTAATGCATTAAAAGTATTAAACCCTTAGAACAGTGCCTGTCACATAATAAGCTTTCATTGTTATTATTATTTATGTATTGACACATAGGTTATTGTATTCACAATGGATAAGAGACTTTCCCAATGTCACATAGCCAGTAATTGGTAGAACTGGCTGTTAGAAAGTATGTCTGTTCAAATCAAAACACCCGTCCTTCCCACTGTGGGTTATGAACTGATAAGAGACTAGATCCCATACCACATTCAGTATTCTAGGGGAATTGGGAATATTTATATTATATCATGGTTAAAAGTTGGGAGAAACGATTCAGATCTGAGTTGCGAGTTGTCTAAGTGCCTAGCATTGTGGATAGGAGACAAGTTTTAAAGTCCGAGTTCCTAGATCTCAATACCAGTTTCAAGTTGTGTGACCTTGAGCAGGTTAATTCGTCTTTCCATGTCAGTTTTATATTTAGTAAAATGGGGGGTAATAATATTGTTCACTAGTCAGTGGAGAGTAAAATAAAGTTTAAGCAATAAAGTCATTTATTACTTCATTTATCAGGAAATCTAGAGATAGTTCAGAAGGATAACCATCTCATGAAGGACCAAGGCCCTTTGCATGTTTCTACTTGGCTACCCTTTTTACACAGCAATATACAGAGAGTGAGAGAGAGAGGAGAGAGAGGAGAGAAAGAGAGAAGAGAGGGAGAGATGCTTCCCTGAAGAACTATCTCCCTCAATTTATTGGCCAGATGTGGGTCCCTTAACCACCTCCTAAAACAATCATAGGCAAAAGAGAATGAGATTCTATAACTGGTTTAGACCAATAGACCAATCATAGTTCATTCCCTGAACTGTGCATATTGCCACCTGAACCAAATTGGGGTTTGCTTAGAAGAAAAAGAGGGTGGGAGGGTGATATTGAATAGTATAGGTTATGCTACTGAATGTCTAGGAAGTGCTTAGCTTAGTGCTCTGGCTTAGTGAGTACTCATTAAAGGTTAGCTTTGCCAACTCCCTGAGGCTGACATTCAGGAAGGCAATTCTGTGCTCTCACGCACACAAAAAAACAGACGTTTCTATTGTTTTAAAAACAGAACAGAGCACTGAACTTGACGGATCACAGGCCTGGCTCACACAATTTTGGATGTTCTTACAGGTCCTTTGCATGGTAAAAATTCCCACACTTTAAAATTGTTTATTGTGTATCCTTATCCACAAGTGATGTAAAACAAGGGAGTTGAACCAAGCTGCTGCAAGCCTCATCCTTCATATCGAAGGGGTTTATCCCACAGCCCTCCTGGATCAAACTGCATCCTTCCGCTGGCAAAAAAAAAAAAAAAAAAAAGCTCCTGTAGCCCATGTTTGTGTTAAAAACAAACAAAGTGCAGAATTCCTCAGCTTTAGTCTCCTTCTTACATTCACATTCACAGGAATAGCTGGGAAGGATCAAGAATACTAAATGTATGACTCAACCAGCTATTGCCACAATAATGGTACGTAAGAAATGCACCCCCCCTCCACCCCCCACCAGCTCAGTGTCATTCAACAATGAGCATTTATTTTCATGCCCATAACTCTGCAGGATGGCTGGGTTCTGGCAGAATTAGGACAGGTTCTGGTAGATCTAGGATGGGTTCTGCTGGACTTGCCTGCAAGACGGCCTAGATCTGCTCCGTATAGCTCCTGAGATATGTTTATCTCATGGCAATGACGAGACACCCAAGAAGACAAGCCTAACCCTGCAAACATATTTCAAGCCTTTGCTCAAGTCACATATTCTAACATCCCATTGGCCAGAGTAAGTCACATTGTTCAATATCAGTGAGGTGGATAAATATACGGAGTGTCTAGTTGAAAACTACAAGGCCATGTGGAAAAATGTGTGGATACAGAGGAGGGCAAGGAACAGAGAACAATGATGCAAAAAGCCCTCACAAAGAGGCTCAATCTTCTTTCTCACTTAGCTAGAGCCTATTTCTAATCATTCAAATTCCTCTTCCAGACAGCACATCTCTTTTCTTTTGCCATCCTAAGCCACTCTGGTGAGTAAAACCTATTTGACCAATAATCTTTCAGTAGATTACTGAGAGATGGTGAGGAAAAGAAAAGACAGAAAAGGAAAGAGAAAAGAACACCTCTGGTAGGATCAGTTGTAATGATGATTGAGAAGGCGGGGAACCCTGGAAGTAGAGTTTTGTTGCAGTGCTCTAAAGAAAAGCTATGTGAGAATGTGACTAATGCCTTCTGCGAGGTAACTAGCAAGCCAAGGCTGCTGGTTAGGTCTATGGACAGTATACTCAGGTTTTAATTTAGGGACATGTGATCAGAATGGGACAAATCAGTCTTTAAGAAATTTTTTGTAGCAAGTGGCTTCCAAGAACAAAGCAAGGCCCCGAAAAGAGAGCTGAAGTCAGGGGTTGTGTTCACTAAGTTATCTATGGTGATCATCACAGTGCCCAGCATATAGCTGGTGATCCATACATATTTTTACGTGTCAAAATATTAAGTAACCAATTTCCCATTGGATTTTTGCTAATATTTTGACCGAGTTTATAAATATTAGGCTTTGGAAGACAGGGAGAACAAATACTTAAAAGAAAGGAATGTTTTTCTCATCCTTTCTTTGCTCATATTATGTTTCTTCTTTTTAATATTGACTATATTGAGATATAATTTACTTCCAATAAAATTCCCTCATTTAGGTGTACAGTTCTATGAGTTTTGACAAATGTGTACACACATAATATAGAATATTTACATCACCCCAAATAATTCCCTGGTGCCCCTTCCCTGTCAATTCCTGCCCACTCCTGGCCACAGACAACCACTGACCTGCTTTCTGTCAACATAAATTAATTTGCTTATTCTAGAATTCCTCTAATGGAATCATGCAGTATATAGTCTATTGTGTCCAGTTCCTTTCTCTAGGCTGAAAGCCTGTATGATTCGTCACTGTCTTTCTTTTTTATTGCTGAATATTATTCCCTTGTTTGGGCATACCACAATTAATTCATTCACCTGTTGATTGATATTTGTGTTTTCCAGTTTTGGCTATTATGAAGAAAGCTATGAACATTGCTGCACAAGTCTGTATAGACATATGTTTTCATTTCTCTTGGGCAAATACCGAGGAGTGGAAGTTCTGGGTTTTATGATAAGTAAATGTTTAATTTTATGAGAAAATGTTCTCCAAAGTGACTTTACCATTTTATACTCTCTTTAGCAACAGATGAGTGTTCCAGTTACTCCAAATCCTCTCAAACACTGGTGTTATTAGTCTTTTAAATTTTATCTATTCTGATTGTGGTGTCCTTTTCTTTTTAAAAAGGAAACAAGTAGTGTTTGTTGAATGAGTTCAAAGGAACATTCTTAGACCTATGCTTCTAAATGAGCAAGTTTCTATCTCTTCTCTCTCTCTCTCTCTCTCTCTCTCTCTCTCTCTCTCTCACACACACACACACACGCACACACGCACACACGCACACACGCACACACCCACTCACCCAGATGGGGCCTTCTGTTTCCCTGGGAAATAAAACCGTTGCTTCTCTGAGGACAGGCTTTCTATCTCAGAAGCACAACTTAACCGCATGCCTGGGCATCAAGACCAGCGCACTTGCAAACTCTCAGGCGCGGCGAGGTTTCCTCAAAGAGCTCTCACTCCAAGCCTCTCAATTGCTCTCTTCTCTACTAATAAATAATAATTGTCTTTTCAAAAAGCTGGTTTGTGGCCTGCGCTGGAGAGCTCCAGCTAGAGGGGAAAGCTATGGGTTGCCTCTCTGATTCCTCCCAAAGACTCCCTTCCCTACCCAATTTGGATCCAAAGACACTCCCTGGCTCCGCTCAAGTTCTCCAGAAAACCTCAGGGAATGTAGAGCTCCCGGACACCCCCGGCACCCCCGCAATCCGGGCACGGGGCATGCTCAGAGGGCGTGAGGGAAGCGCAGGCATTGGCTGCAGTGGGGCCCAGGAGCCGGGAGGTGCCGCTGCGGCCCCGCTTCCCCGCGCCTGACCCAGCGCGCAAAGTTGGGCTGGAAGCCGCCGGGGGAAGGAGGGACCGAGCGCGAGCGGGTGGCGAGGAAGGGGGGGCGGGGGGCGGAAGAAGGAGGGAGGAGGGGAAGGAGCAGGGCGGGGAGGGGGGCTGCCGAGCGTGTGTCACTCGCTCTCTCCCTCTGTGTATAGAGGATGTGCTGAATGGTGCGCTTGGAGGCGGCGGCGGCTGAGGAACAGTATCCAGCCGCGGCTGGCAGGCTTGCCTGCCCTCGGCTTCTCCTCGCCCTCTGAGGCTCCGCCCCCCCCGCCGG